AAAGAGAAAGAAAGAGAAATACATCTTACACACAAAGGTAGTATATATTGGCTCACATAAGGCATTTGTACAAATTATGCCCATCCCTATTATTGTATTGTCTCTATTTACCACAGCAGCTATGGCATTCCACATCTGTCCTGGTGTAAACTAAAGGTTCATTTATTTAGTTACAACAGGAAATAAAACCTAAACCTAGTCATATCAATTGATCTATCTGCAACTACTGATGCTTTGCAGAATTTGGAAAATGTTTAGTACTACATTCAAGCGTGTGACATGATAGTTCTGACGTGAAGGTCAGTTGGCCAACTTGGCTCTAATTCAGCTTGGTTTCCAATAGGTGCTTGTGATTGAGCGCAAGAATGAGGATGGCACGTGGCCCAGACAAGCCTCCCACCCCAAGTAAGCAAATGCTGTGTTGTTTTTGTCATTCAGGAAAATGAGAGTAGTTGTATCCTAGAAAGGTTTTTGAGCATTTAGCTAAATCTGTATCCAAGTTAGCACAACATAGCAATTTAGAGGTAATTTGTAGAAGTGTGTTTTTTCTATAACATGCTTCTACTTTTGCTAACCAGATCCAGTACAACCTCATCCAGGAATTTCACTACCTCCCCAAAACTCTCCTCTAATTCATCAGCCAGTATCTGCTCAACAGTAACCAATGGAGACAGCAGCTGTAGCCCTGGATACACACTCAACAATAGCATCTCGTCTGGGAACAGGCAAGAGATCGTTTCTCTCATATATATATATTTTTCCCCTGTGCACAGAGCACTGCCATTTACCTCCCCTAGGCATTTACTGTATGGTTTGTGTGGCACAAGACTGACATTCTTTTCTTTTCCTTTTCAGTTAACAATTAACCTAACTTAACTAACTTTACAGTATATTCCTATCACTTTGTCAACGTCCTAGTATCAAGTTGTGTCCAAAGGCTAGTTGTCTGTTATGCTGGACTTTAATAATCTAGTAGAAACACAACTCAGGGCAGCCAATACTTCTCATACAGGGGTGTTATAGAGGAGATTAAAAGGAGATTCTCACATACTACTTTTGCATTTAGGACATCTTTTTGAATCACTTCATCAGTAGAACAGTTCAGTTCCTTGTCAATGGATGAGATCATTGTTGGAAGAATAAACAAACACATAATCCCTTTTTTGTCACTGCAGAGTGAATATGTATTTTTCCTCTGCCCATCATATCATTAGTTCTTATCTTATACCAATTCTGCACATGAACACATATTCTAAAGCAAGCTGGTATCAGAGACATACATTAGGCTGCTGTGGCAGCACATCTCTAATTAAATTGTATGGGTGAGGAACACAATAAAGGAAGTGTTGCTGTACAGTGGCAGCATGAGTCCTTTAATTTTGTACATGTAGCTACATCCAGTGCCATAGTTTATTCAACTTCCTGGCCCTTTGAGACTGTAGACCGATTATGTAAGAAAGTGTTTCTAATACTTTGTCCATCCCTATTTACAGATGTCAACAGTCTTCTCTGACACAATAGGACATGTAGTATAGAGAGAAAAATTGTGTTCACATTTAAGATAGGTATAAGGATTGTCACAGTAGTGTTTCCCATACACAGATTTATTTGTGGTGGCCTGCAACAGTATCCATATTGACTGCCACATGTTGATTTTCTTTTTTTACTTTTTAAAATGGATAGAATATTATTTCTTTGTAGAAATGCATGCAGTACAAAGACTTTGATTTTGGTTTTGATCGACCTAATCAGCCTAAGCTCCAGTTTACTACTTAAAGTAGCAGTAATATTTACCATCCATTTCTGACTGAAGACCAAGTATAAAAGTACCATCATTTTTCATTCAATATGGATAAATGGCTTCATTCTCAGCAGAGATTGTGCTGCAACTAAAAGTACCTTTTATCTGGCAGTACTTTTGGGTTTAAAAACAAAATGAAAAGTTAATTCAAGTTTTCTGTAATATTTAATATAAAAGATGACAGATGATGGATCATAACCTCTAGAGTCCCTGCGTCCTCATATGAGGACCGCACAGCTTGGGTTTCCAAAGCTCAGGACTCTAGAGGTTAATAACCATTTGTGTGCACATCACATACAGAATGTGCTACATTTCCATCACTGACACACAGGGTGGCAATGTCTATCACCAGACTAAATTCCATACAGATCTTATCTGGATTCTGGATCTGACGACCATTTATAGTTAACACTAAAAACCCCATTTAACACGTTTTCTGCCATAACTTGGTCTATAATGAAGAGAGAACCCTGAAATGTTCAGGTAAGGTGCACAGTATAACTGCAACAACTGTGTTGTTCTGGGTCTCATCTTTCACAAGGAACCCATTTGCATGAGCAAATGTTGTGGTGGTAAATTACATTTGATGTGTTTAAACCTGTGCTTAAAGTTTTTGTTCACAGTGCAGTGACTACTGGAGCTCAACAGTAACAGATCTGTTCTACCAACAGATTGGGGGGCTACAGTTCATACAACTCCTACAGCTACAGAGAGTCACAGTCGCAGCCTGGCCTATGTGGTCTCAGTAATTTGGGCAACACGTGCTTCATGAACTCTGCCCTCCAGGTAAAAAAAAATGTAGTGCTGCAGTTACAACTTTAATTTAGAAAAAGTCACTTCTCATGGTTTTGGGATTATGTTCAAAAAGCTGTTTTTCTCCTCTTCTTCTAGTGCCTGAGCAATGCATCTCCACTCACAGAATACTTCCTCAATGATCAGTATGAGGCAGAGATTAACCGAGAGAATCCCCTGGGAATGAGGGGTGAGATTGCAGAGGCCTATGCTGATTTAGTAAAGCAGATGTGGCTGAGCCGCAGCAGCTATGTGGCCCCACGCACCTTCAAAGTGAGTTGTGTCAAATAAGCATAAGTGAAGAGAAAGTATTCTAATCAAAAAATTATCCAGCCATAAACTTGAAGCTACAGACAGTGTTAATAACCCACACCCTACCACCACCACCAGACCCAGGTCGGGCGCTTCGCTCCTCAGTTTTCAGGCTACCAGCAGCAGGACTCCCAGGAGCTTTTGGCCTTCCTGCTGGATGGGCTTCATGAAGACCTGAACCGTGTCAAGAAGAAGCCTTATCTGGCCCTGAGGGATGCAGAGGGCCGTCCAGATGAGGTAGTTATAGCACATACATAGAAATAATGTAACATATGTGTACCTTTCAGGTGCCTTTTGTGTCTCAAACAGATAACTAAAGCCCTTATTCAAAAGCTCAGTCTGATGTAGGGTTGTAACGACCTATCAATCTGGATCAATCAATCAAACAGCCCATGATCAGATGACATTGATGTAAAACATAAATATCAATGTTTATTTTCACAGCCTTCCATATAGGTAGACATTGGAATTGGAAGGTCATTAATTGTATTTAAGTAGCACTTGAAATTGAACAGAGGAGCTCAATAAATGTTTAAAATTATACTTTTGTTATACTTTAGTTTTAAAAATATAATAGGCAGATAATATTGCTTGATATCATTCACAGACCCCTGAATCAAATCGAATTGAAATTGCACTGTGGCATATATTTAAGTATTGGCAAACATCAGATCACTGGCTAAGAGAATTGATATAGGACCATATTGTGATAAGAGTAGTGATTTACACCCCTAGTTTAATGAGGGAATGCGTTGCTGGTTAAATATCGATATTCATTGTGCTTTGATTTATGAACTTGAAATCTTTAAATTTCTAAATTTGACTGTTAGCAAGTGACTTCCAGCTGGACAGCATTGAAATTTCTTCTGGAAATTCCCATTGTGTGCTTTGATCTACAGTTTATAGCTGCATACAAGCTTACTTACTTATTTTACAGTATCAAGTTGCACCCTTTCCTCACTTTATAATAAGTTTTTAAAGTGACATATACTGAAAGTTTTCTCCATTGGCTGTGCAATAACAGATTGTTGCCAAGGAAGCCTGGACAAACCACCGCTTGCGCAATGACTCTATTATAGTTGATATTTTCCATGGCCTCTTCAAATCCACACTGGTGTGCCCAGAGTGCTCCAAAGTGTCTGTAACCTTTGACCCATTCTGCTACCTCACACTGCCTCTGCCCATGAAGAAGGACCGTACCATGGAGGTTTTCCTGGTGTGGTCAGACCCTCAGTCTAGACCGACACAGGTGAGTTGGAATTAACCTCTAGGCTTATTGCTCTAGACTTGATCAGCAACAGTTAAAATAATATTAATTAATACATGCTAATTAGGGATGGGACAATATGACTGTATGTGATTCGATGCACATTATGGTGTGTATGATTCCATTCAATTACAATACAATTGTGACAACATTGTATGACTATCTGTTGAATGCTTGTACTTTATTCCCCTTTGTCCTCTTTTTCTATCTACTGTTGGAAAGAACAACCAGATACTGTATATTGACTTAGGCTGTCTTATTTACAAAAGATAAGAAGTCGGTGTATGGAGACCACATGATGTATATCTCTAGACAAAAAGATACATATTGTGATGTTTTTGTCTCGCCACATATTGCATTTTGATATATTGTCCCATCCCTAATGCCAATTAAAACTTTATTTATAGTGTAATATACTTTTTTTTTGTTTGTCTGGCAGTATCGAGTGGTGGTCCCCAAACTGGGTACAGTGACGGACCTGTGCAGCGCCTTGTCCAAGCTCTGTGGAATCCCTCCAGAAAATGTGAAAATTTAATTCTTTTACACCACTAGAATATATAAAATGTTCTATATACTGTTATTTTTACACTTATTTGTCTTGTGTTGAAATAATAATAATGTGCTAAGCAAACAATTCACTTGTCTTTTTAGATGGTGGTGGCGGATGTTTACAATCATAGGTTCCATAAAATTTATAGGCGAGATGATGGCCTCAACCAAATCATGGAAAAAGACGACATCTTTGTGTAAGTCTCGTTGACTAAAAGATAAGTTCATTTTTAGTTAGTCGTGGTGGGTTTTTAAACTAGGTGTGTGTAATGTTTGTGCTGTTACTTGTTGCAGTTATGAGGTACAGGAAGAGGACAGTGAGAGGATGAACCTGCCTGTATATTTCAGGGAGCGCCACTCTAAGCATGCTGGAAGCTCCACAAGCACCACGCTGTTTGGCCAGCCTTTACTCATCACCGTGCCCAGGCACAACCTCATAGCAGACGTTCTGTATGACAAGATCCTAGAGAGGATTGGGTAAGAACCTACTGTGTCGATAGTAAGAAAGGAAAACTGCCTGGCAGTGTAGTGACAGTATGCTTAGAGATGGAGTGGAGAAAATGGCAGTAAAAATAAATGCTGAATCAGATTTGAATGATAATTAAACTATAATGAACTGACATTTATAACTTGACTGATTGAGATTTCCTTTTGTTCTCTGTTGCAGACGCTATGTAAAACACACCCAGAGTCCTAATAGTGAAAGCAGGGCCTCTGCCTCAGCCACCTTTGCCAGTTGCAGCCAGGCTCCTGAATGTTCCACGTCATCTAGTCTCAACCCAAGCCTGGGTGGCTGTGGCAGCCCCCTGTCAGACGGGGCCTCCTGCAGTGCAAGCTCCAGTAATAGCAGCAACCATTCAGGGACCTGCAATGAAACAAATGGGCTATATGACGGTAAGCAGCTGGCATTATAAGACTCAAAGTGTTTATTGTCATGTGCACAGTATGGAAACGTGTTTCCCTGTACAATGAAATTCTTACTTTGCTGTCCACAATGAATGCCAAACAATGCAAGGGGAAATATAAGATAGATAAATAGTACACAACATCTAAAGGCACTTAAAAACAGCAAGTGGAACCAAATGTAATAAAAAAGAAAATATAGAGAGTATAATAAAGAGAGAACGTATGCCACATCGGAGCTGGATATGCAATAGGCGGCAGTGAGTGTAATAGGCAATCTTCATTGAATGAAAAAAGGAACTCAAAAGTGTTGATTTCATGCTTGTCTGTATATGCCCAGGTGAAGAGGAGGCCATGGACCACCAGGTGAGCCCAGAAGCAGCAAATGGCCAGTCTGAAGAGGAGGACGAGGACACATCTGACTTGGAAAATGGGTCTAAAAGGGACCTGGCTAAGCTGCACTCTGCTCCAGTCAAGCTGTTCACTTTCAGCATAGTCAACTCTTATGGAACAGCCAACATCAGCCCACTGCCTTGCGATGGAAATGTCCTCAAACTTAATCGTCAGTGTTAATTTTTTTTAAACATGCGTTTGCATTCATAGTTATATTTTTCGAAGCTCCACTTTGTCTTGACATGGTTCCTCCCGCCTCTTCTGTCTGCAGCACATTCCACAGTGGCGATCGACTGGGACACAGATTCAAAGAAAATGTGTTATGATGAACAGGAAGCAGAGGTCAGTGGGATAATATTTATCAGACAGTGCTATGACAGAATATCCAAACAGTCTTGTCTTTTTACCTTTGTGTAAATATTGTGTGCAGGCCTATGAGAAGCATGAAAGCATGCTGCAGCCCCAAAAGAAGAGAGCCACTGTGGCTCTGAGGGAATGCATTGAGCTCTTTACAACTATGGAGACACTTGGAGAACATGATCCATGGTAAATGTTCATAACTGCGGTGTGATTCAATGTCAAACCTCCATTTGTACCACTTATTGTCATATAAACCTAAATGTCTTTTAAATGCAGGTATTGTCCCACATGTAAGAAACACCAACAGGCCACAAAAAAGTTTGACTTGTGGTCGCTGCCTCGCATTCTGGTAGTTCACCTAAAGCGTTTCTCTTACAACCGATGTTGGCGGGACAAGCTGGACACAGTTGTGGACTTCCCCATCAGGTACGCAGACAGGAGTCCTCAACATGAGCACACAGAAAAGGTTTCTTTCCCAGTGTTGTTGCATTTCTCACTGAGACTCTGATGTTATCACCCAAAATTCAAACTTTCTCTACAGCCGGCTGACTGTTGCCATTCAAACACCAGCTTCAAGAACAAATATTCATTGGCAGGTTATTCAGTATGAACCTTTTGATATTGTACCCCACAGTTAAAGTAATGTAAAACAGATAATGCAAAATTGACTTCTGTTGTACACACTTAACTCAGTTTTACAAATGAGGATTGTGCTAAAGGAACCGAGAAACGCTGCACTATCATTGGTAGCTTTACACTAGAGGGAGCTATAGTCTGAAAGGTGTGAATGAGAAAATGTATATTATGCTAGCAAAAAAATTGACCCCCAAGAACTGACACCAACAATTAAAGCTTTGTTCTTAGTGTCCTTGTCTCTGGTTATCTAACTATTCTGTATGAATCATTAACGTTTTTTCCCCAGTTGGCACATAAAACATTTCCTCAGTTATAAAATAGAGAAGTTGTCCTAGGATTAAGTGGTGTAACAGCTACATCTAGCACTCACTGTGTGTGCACAACATTGACCTCTGCTGAGGAACTTGAGCCACTAGGAACCAGGAAGCAAAAACCATTACTGAAACCCTGCTTTGAAAACGCTGACTCATGCTTACTAGGCGCGGTTTAAACAAAGACCCATGTTGTCCTTCATTTAAGTGTGGCTCTTAAGGAATCTGGTATTTATTTTTTGTTTATGTAAGGTTTACAGTTCTACTGTGGTGGCAATACAGTTTTTCCCTTTGATTAAAGGTCTGTTCTTTGTCAGGGATCTGAACATGTCGGAGTTTGTTTGTGACCCTAAGGCTGGCCCTTATATATACGACCTCATTGCCGTGTCAAACCACTATGGAGGAATGGGAGGGGGTCACTGTAAGTCACTACTTTTTCTTTTTGCTCTGTTAATTTAATCTCTTAAATAATATATACTTTTCTTCTAATATCACAATCAACCTACCACAAAGAGTTAATGGCTTATTTTAATAATGACCAGTTTTATTTCCAGTCACTGGTTGTACCAGCATAATTTTAGTTTTCAAACACTGGCCGAGTATGTGCCAACAAATGGAGTGTTGAACCACAGCTACATTTCCATGGACACTGGAATTGATTAAATTTTAATGAGGCAAAGTGCTTCACACATGATTATTCTCTGTTGGTTCACTGCCAACTTTTTTGTCTTTGTACTTGAGAACTAAACTGATGGGGGTTTCATTTCCTTTCTGGCTGACAGACACAGCTTATGGCAAGAATAAAGTGGATGGAAAGTGGTATTACTTTGATGACAGCAGTGTCTCGCCTGCCTCAGAGGACCAGATTGTGGTGAGTTTTGACCCTCCAGTGAATGTGTCTATCCTGTAGTCAATGCCCTCAAAGATGCAATATTTGGTGAACCTTTTGTGTTTTGACCAACAAAGGCTATTTGATAGTGAAGTCCTCTGCCTTCGTGGCTTTGTTTGGTGTTGAGTTTCCCTCTTGTTGTAGGGTAACCCTATCCTTGTCTTCCCCTTGCAGACTAAAGCAGCCTATGTACTGTTTTATCAGCGCAGAGATGAGGAAGCCCCCTTCAAACCTCAGCCTTCAGCTTCCCTGGGAGGAGCCCCTGAAGCAGCCGATGACCACATGGACACAAACTGAGGAGTCTTGACATGAAGTGAAAATGCATATGGCTAATAGAGACACTTGGACACGCACACAGAGCTACTTTAGTGACAGAGGACTCCACAGAACTAACATTATTATCTATACCTTCCCCGTGTTTTTTATTTGTCTCATATGTTGTCTACTAGAGCCAACAGCCTTGACAGAAGAGTGACCTGAGAGAATTCCTCCTACAGCAGGTGACCTACTGATTTCTGAACTTGGTTTACAAGTCTGAAACTAAGATGAATACACATGGATATAAACCCTCTCACTGGATGAACAGAATGTTAGAAGTGTCCTCAAATGTGTAAATATTGAAAAAAATGTTTCTGTTGCCCTCAACACTCAGAAATATTTAAAAAAAAAAAAGCCAAATGTAGATCTTGTTTGAACCAAAGTGATCCAAGGTATTTATGATGTAACATACCAGCTGATAAGAATTTAGCAGGATACTGGCATTGTGCCTAGATTTCTCTGATAATCTTGCTATGCTGAGGTAAATGCAAATTCAAAAAGTGTGAGCACGCGGAACAGTACCTACCACACTTGATGAAAAATAATCCCGAACTTATGCCTATTTACTGGTTGGGGATGTTGTGACTGGCCTACTGGGTCTGTGTTGCAACCTGAGCTACAGACACCTGGGTCTTGACATGAGTTCTGGCAGAAACTGTTTTTTGGCCTTGCTCTTGATCAGCCATCACTTTTTATTCTTTGATACACAGCATGGGCTCTGCTCTGAACTTATGAGAGGAGTCTTAACCTGCTATCAGTTTTTCTTTTTCTTTTTTGTAATCAAAAAGCAAAAGCGGCCTTTTGATTTCTGCAACCTGACTATAAAACGGAGGCACTTTGAATTCTCTCTGAGTACATGACTTACCTGCTTTTGGTTTATCCAGAAATGACATAATTGTATGATTTGGCCATAGTAATAAGGGCTATGGTCTGTCATATGCTTCCAGATAATTTTTAATGTCTTTTAAGCATATTTTGATTGCTGCTTGACTGGACCCCTAGCTGAATAGCAACGGCTTGTCCTTATTAGTCGCTGTGTATTGAAATGGCTATGTTATTTGATATTTTCAAAGCACATTGAGTGAAACAAAATAAACTAGTATAAAAGTGGTGCTTTATTCATGAAACTTGAATTTGCTCCTGATCACGAGGAACAATCTGTGTCATCAGCTGATGGTGTTTTTGGCAAATTTTCTTTGCAGTGATCTTAGGACGCTACACGGCTGTTGAATGAAAGGCATCTAAAATGCTTCTGGCGTTAGTATGACAACAACCCCTTTGTTTTAAGGTAGTCTTTATTATCCCAGGAAGCACAGCGACAAGTGTTCGGAATGTAATTAACAGCGTAAACTAGTTCATTTTACTCCGTATGCAAAGTCTTCTGGTGAAACCAATAATGGATCTCTTTCCATAAATCTGGTTCTTTAGCTCATGTTGATCTGTAGGGCCTCCAGTGTTCATTTTTCTGGTTAGTCCTGTCACAGCTGTGTTGCTTAAAGATGACTACCTAAATATAATAACTTATGCCTGCGATTATTAAAGCTTTACATCATATCTGTAATCCTAGATAGTTGAAGTCAATTCTGCTGCCAAATGCAGATCTTGCCCCCCCCCCAATCACAATTCAAACTAACTGAAAAGATGTAAATAATCACAATTTTAAGTAGGTGTATAATTCTTGTCCCTATATTTATCTTATTGCCCAAATCTACAGTATTTGTTTTTAAATTGAGAAATATGAGTTTAAAGTACAATAAAGTCTGAAAGCCTCAACAAGGTGGTTTGTTTGGACTAATTGCATGTACAAAAAAAAGGCAAAGTTGCCTTAATTTCAGTGGAAGTTAAGAAATATCTTTGCAATATAAAATCACATCTATTTGAAGATGATGCAGCTTTAATTTATGCTGACTGGTTACAACATGAACTATGATCTGTAATGAGTTGCAGATACTAGAAAAGCAATGCGCAATCACACTGCTGTTATCTACAATCAATTTCCATTTAGTAGGTGACATTTATACCAGGTCAAGGATGCAATGATATTACTAATGATGTCAGAAGTTTGGATTCAATTTTCTTACTATCATTAATTAAAGAGAGTCAGAAATATTTGAGAAAAAGCATTTATTGCTTGTATTAATATATCAAACCAAAGCAGTGCTTTACATGAACCCAATGAAGCTGAGGCGTTCGCCCTTTTACAATTCATCAGATACCCCCCTTACGGTTTCAGAGGATGTCTTCATGTAGTAAAAAAAGTGACACAGCCATCGTGTACAAGAGAGCACAGCTGGTCTGTTAAAGTGTTGTACACCACCTATAGAAGCTATGGATGGGAAAAACATGCACAAAGCATTTCCCTAGATGAAGTGAAGGCATAGGCACTGGCATAGTGCAAGTGAAAGCTGTAGGATGGCTGAACAACTTTTTGCAGGACGGTTGATTAGTTTGCCTGGCTGAGGAGCTTCTTGATGTCTCCCTCAAGGTCGCTGGTGAGGAACCTCCTGCTGTAACGCTTGAACGGCTCTCCATCAGGCCCAATGAGGAACTTCTCAAAGTTCCAGGACACGTCATTCCTGCAGACCGGGCTCCAGATGATAAACTTCGGGTCAGTCATCAGGGCGAATGGCTCGTCACTGGGGGACGGGAGCTTCTCTTTCAGGAACACAAACAAGGGATGGGCATCCTTCCCATTCACATCTACCTTCTCCAGGAGCTGAAACTTGGGCTCAAAGCCATTTCCAGGACGGACGTACTTGAGAGACAGAAGAATTTCTTCATTCTTGCAGTTCTCCTACATGGGTTGATCATAGAATTAAGTTAGGTCCTGTGGTACACAGAATTATTAGCACTGATGGGATATTCCTCTGACCAAATTATAAAAAGGTTCACGAAAAGTGTACTATGGCATTATGTCCCTACAGACTTCATTAGAGAAATTACACTCTGGGTTAGTGGTTTGTGAAGGGTGTGACCACCATGGAACAAGAAAGATATCCTGATAAACAAGCCAAAAACTCTGGCCTGCAGCCCTAAAGGGGCAGAAAAGTCAACGGTCTACCTTTTAGCAGTGCCATGTTTTAAGTTACAGTTTTGACTTGAGAATCAAAATTATATAAACCCTCTCTCAACAGTTTTCTTTATCTTTTTATTTGGCTCTTCTTAAAAAGAAAGAACTTGTCCCATAGACTGCCGAGCCTTTTATTTTATACGATTACATCAACCATCAAAGGCCCATCTACTAATCAGTTACTAATCTTGTTGATATCTAATTTATAAATGACTTATTTGTGTTGCATTGGCTATAGCGTTAGCAAATAAAAGACATTAATTCACAAGGCACATCTTTAAAAAAAAAAAAAAAAAAAAAGAGGTGTTGGGTGTTTTGTAACCTAACCACTAGTTTCCTCTTTCCTAAATATAACTACTGAAACTGCTTATTGGCTTACATGAAATGATTTTTTAAAAATATAATACAATAACTGCAGATAATGTGTCTGCATAGTTACAACTTGACTAAAATTAAGCCGTCTCAGTAACTTGGAAACGTCTTACTGACTAAAACAGGAATAAAACCTAAACCTAAAGTCAAAATTGATTTGGCATAAATATTATTTTATTGTTTTATTTAATTATAATTAATTAAAACCAAAAATAACATTTAATGATGGTAATCCCCTGAAAATGACTAAAAGGGCACATCTCGACGATGCCACGTTAACCTCACCTGATGGCCGAACTGGTTGCAGGGCACTCCCAGGATTACGAGCCCCTTGCTGGCGTACCGCTCGTGGAGCTCGTTCATCTGGGTGTAATCCCTGACGGTCGTACCTCAAAGAGACGCCACATTCTCAATGAGGACAACTTTGCCCTGCAGGGAGGAAAAATTAAACGTTTCTCCCGTTAAGAGTTTGGCGGTGAACTCGTGAAATTTCTTCGCCATCCTTGTGCTTCTTATCTCCTTCTCCGAAGTAAACAACCCGTTCGAAGTCAACAGTCGCTCTACTTCCTCTACGCTCTGAAGCTAACTTTTGAAATATGGTCAAAGAGTTTCTGTTTAGCTGTCAAGATAGTTCACACCCAGGAGCCTGCGGAACGGCCAATATGAACGTTCCATTGTACCTGAATATGAGAGCCCAGGGATGATAAATCCAAATACTGGTGGCAAATCAAATGTATTAAATAATATTTAAATATTTGATTTTAGAATAATTTTATAAGTATACTCCCAAATTTAGTCTCATAATTTTAGCTATTTATTTTGGCTGACAGACCTTTTTAACGGTAGACATTCTGACTTCGGTACAAGTCATCAAACCCTAGTGTTCTGAATACATGCATTCATTCATTCATGTTCTACCGCTTGGTCCCTGAACGGGGTCACGGGGGGGCGTTCTGAATACATAATGACTCGAAATGTTAATAAATAAATACTTCAAGATTACGGTATAAACCAAGAAGCAAACTGCTGGTAGCAATGTAACAGATCGTTCAATTGTTTACTCTTCGATGTTGCTGCGGAAGAAATGTGCTCTGGAGGTGTGCCTGTTCCCTAACACGGCGTTTGTCGGAAGGACTCTTCGTATAAGTCAAGGGAAGCCCAACCCCGCCCGACAACGGGCAAATTGTTAATGAAAACACACCTCCCCATGCCATAATATTAGAGACCGTCGTAATAGTATGTAAAGGCCAGATTTTAATAGCACAATAGACTGCATTCACCAGAGTAACTTAAGAAGGAACTACGCAGCCAACCTATAGTTGTTTTAGTTGATAAATCTCAGATTTGTAGGCTATTTGTTTTTGCCACCATCCCCAGATAGCTGAGTTACACGAAGACAGTTCCTGTGACGTTGATGACGCGTCACGCACATTGGCGCGGAAGTTTGTTTTGTAAAATCTGTCTGTGGTCGTTGTCTGTAGGTTTTTCTCTGTTAAAAGTATGTTTCACGTTTATCATTCTAAATTATTTTGGCAGCTATCAGCATAATCTCGATATAAATGTACATACTTAAAGTATGGCATGTTTGTGTTACAATTATTGTGCTAATGGACTCGGTTATAGTTGCTTTCTGTAACGTTAGCGTATGACGGTAACTTGTAACATCAGATTAGCTTGTTTGTTGCTGTGGATGCTAGAATGGGTTATTCATTAAAATGTGTTTTTGCCTTCATATGTTAATGTTATAAGATGATGCGCAAAAAGCGACGCACCTCGGTGGATAACGTTACAAGAGGATCAGCAACCACTAGTAAGTTTTACAAAGCAGTCCATAACAGTGTGCCAGCAAACGGTGTCCCTGTGAAGTTAGATAGCTTGCCCACCGAGATATGCAAATATCTAGAGTTCGATCGTACTATAACAGACCTGTGTTATTCACACTTAGAGCAAGATAAAGTAGAGTCAGCAGTACAGGAATATGACAACGTGACAGGTCATATCTTACTAATACGAATACAGCAACATCCTGTGTAAACATTTAAACTGAGGACACCCTATTCTTTTTCATTAACCACTGGCATCCTAAAGATTTCCAGCTGTATTCAAGAAATCCTAGTTGTTTTTCAACAGATACTGTTTTAATACACTTTTTTTTTTTTTTAAATCTAGAGGCAATGAAGAGTCGCAGCTCTGGTCCCCAGCCTAAAGAAGGAGTTGCAGAAGCAACAAATCAAAGTGTATTCACTCTATTTCTGAGAGAAGCAGGTGTTACTCTGAAACAAGTTGGCTCATCCAATGAGATTGGTAAACATACTCATTTCAAGTTATGCAACATACAAGGCTAGTACATAAAATCAGTTTTCCACTTCAGCTTTATTTGATCTTCATTTGTTTTTCTCTTCAGCTGTTGATCAAGTAGTTTTCCAAAAAAGGATACAGAAGCTATTACAGAAGAGTCCCAGGTACCCTGGAGTAAGTATATCCACCATAGACACCAATACATCAAGGCATATAGCACAAGACAGTTGTTTCATTGACATTTCCTTGTTAAGATTGTACAGGAATTCATCACTGGACTGGAGGCTCATATTGAGGACCCTGTGACATTTAGGAACTGCCTCCTTCCATGTGTTCCACAGATGTCTGATGGAGACTCCAGGTAACAGTTATGTAAAAACACTCAGTGTTATGGAGGCTACTTCCTGTAGCTCTTTATTTTATACTTCCTAAACTAAGCTTCTGTCAAGGTTTGTATGGTACACGACACAGACATGTTTTCCTCTGTGTTGCAGTTCTGTCAGCTCATTCCAGGAAAGTCTGCTGCGTATGCTGCTGGGGATCGAGATGCTGCAGGTAAGATTCTTTTCCTCATAGACTCTGCCAAAGACAGCTGCATCACTTTTACACAAAGGAGGTCAATCAGAAAATATAGCCTACAGAGTGTTTATTTATGTGTGTTGTGCTAAATGTTCATGTTTTCCCTATCATGCAGACTTGTATCATTAACACCTTGCTTGAGAAACTTCCTGAATTTATGTTGGATGGGTCAGTATTTCATATGTTTTCACTTTTCAGCATTTGCACAATCCCCACCCCCACCCCCATTGTCTTATTTCTGTAAACGTCATTTTGTTCTGTCCCTCCTCACAGTACTGGAGAGGGAGGACTCAGTATTCCACGCATTATAATTAACCAGCTCAAATGGCTCGACAGAATTGTGGACAGCAAGGTAGTCATTTTTATGATGATAGGTTTTATTATGGCTTCACTTAACACATCCAGTTTTAAAGGTGGTTTTGTTTTTTGCTGATCTGTTTCATTAGGGCTGTAATCATGTATTTCTGTGCTTGTTTAGCTTTGGTTATCTTTATACCCTGGATCTGTATTTGCAGGAGCTGGCAGCTAAGCTCATGGAGCTGGTGTCAGTGGCTCCCTTGGAGGTTCAGCGTGACATCATCACCAGTCTGCCAGAGATACTGGAAGACTCCCAGCACAGTGACATAGCCAGCCAGCTCAAGTATGTATAATCACTGCCACAGATCTGATTCTTGTTCTAGGTTTGTGGATTCAGCTGCCAATTATAATTTTACCACTGCTCTCATCACTGTTCATTGTAGCTCTTTACTTAAGGAGAACACTCAGTTGACTGTCCCCATTCTGGATGCCCTTTCCAGTCTGAACCTTAGCTCCTCATTACTGACTGAGGTAGTACATATATCCACACTCTATTATACTGACTTTTGGTGAATTAATAAAGGACTAGTGGGTGTTATTATATTGATACATGTTGTTGTATGTTATCTCAGATTCGGGGAGCAGTTATGGCCACGTTGGCTGCTGTACAATTGGAGGACCTACCTGTGGTCGTCAAGTTCATCCTCCACTCTGTCTCAGCCTCTGATGCATATGAGGTTATCTAGATCTCAGATTCATATTCACAGCATTTTACTTCTAAAACTATAATATAGAAATGTTACTTAGCCTGAGTGACAATGGCATTTCTTGATGCCATCATTTCGCATTGTTAGAAGAGTCTTTGAGGATTCCGGGAATTTGCGTATTGTACCTTTATTTGAAAATCAAGACATATGGCATGTGCTTTTCTGTGTGTAGGTGGTGTGTAATCTTCGTAAGAAGCTGGAGCTGGAGCAGTGCGTTCTTCCTCCAGTGCTGCAGGCCTCTCAGAGCCGCATGAAGAGCAAAGGGGCAGCAGTGTAAGACAATGCAAATTCTAGTTCAGTCACAACTCGGCATCAGTACCTGTAGTCAGGAGCCTATATTGAAGTAGACCAGTAGGTTCTTGATATTGTACTCCTGACAGTTTAATAAATCTGTTTTTGGAGCAGGTCGGCTTCCACACCAGCAGCTGGCAGCAGCCAGGACAGCATTGCGTTGATATTGGATGCCATCAAGTCAGCAGTGCGGTTTCAGAAAACAATTTCTGAGGCTTGGCTGAAGGTGGGAAGATATTTTAAGGCCTCTCGCTCATGAATTTTTTTTAATTTTAATTGGTAATTTAAGTTTCACTTTGTTTTTCATTAGGCAATAGAGTCTGTGGATGAAGCAGATGACCATAAGGTGAATGTCATTTCAGTTTTTCTATGCATTATGTCTCTGTGTGAACGTGACTGCATCATTCTCTACTGTACCATTTCAGGTAATAGATCTACTGGTGCTGTTCATCCTTCACTCTACCAATGCTAACCAGTGCCGACGGGGAGCAGAGAGGCTGCTGAAAGTCAAAGTGAGGACTGGACTGATCCAGGAGGCTCTGCTACAGAGGACCTTCAGGGATTATTCTCAGGTGGTTCAGGCTGCAGGCATACAAGCTCAAAATTATTTACTTTTGTGTATGTGTTAATTCATTAATATTGGATGAATGTGTTGAATTTCCTACTAATGATATTGTAGGTAATGCGAGGGTATTTCCCCTCCATCCTGGCTCTGGCTCAGTGCTTGTTGCGCTCCCCTGACCCCTGTGTGGTGCCTTTTGGTGGACACATGTACAGACAGACATTCAGTGCTTTTGATTCTTACTGCCAACAGGTGGGTTTGGAATTGATTTTGAGCATGTGCATAAGCATACTAATGTATTATTTTATGGAAATGCATCTGGGTCATTTCTGTCCTGTATGATATTTCACAGGAGGTGGTGGGCTCTTTAGTGACCCATGTGTGCAGTGGGTTGGGTGGGGAGGTGGACATGGCTCTGGTGCTGCTCTGTGGCCTGGTCACAGAAAAACCATCTGAAATGGCCATGTATACTGTTTTTGTCAAGGTAAGAAGGCAATCTAATTACACACTATCGAAGCTGCTACCTAGAAATGCTTAGAAACCAGCTGCAGCTTGTAGCTAGCAGGCACTCTCTCATGATTCTCATAGTGAGGTTCAGTATCTTACCCTTGTGCTTGGTTTAGTTTTTAACTGAGCGTTGTGCTTGACACAGGGAATCTTGGACTACATGGACAACCTCACTCCCCAGCAGATCCGCCAACTCTTCCAGCTCCTGAGCAGGTTGGCCTTTGGACAGCAGCAGCAGGGGTCTCACATCCAGGTGCAGAGTCACACACAACAGAGCCCAGTCTTTTATTTCTGCATGTTTTCTGTTTTTTTTTTTTTGACATCTTTCCTCCACTGGCAAACCCCTCATTTTTACCCTGCAGGATGACATGCACATTGTGATCCGCAAACAGCTCTCCAGCACTGTGCCCAAGTACAAGCGTATTGGCATAATTGGTGCCGTCCAGATCATAGGCAGCATGGGCGCCTTGAGGTGAGGGCTGTTTTTCATTAACACGTAGAGAAGCAGCAGTTTTCATGCTCAGTCTGTCACTTTATTCTTCTCTCTGTGTCTTGATCACTTTCTCTGCCCCCATACAGGCCTAAAGTGAATGATTCAACGAATGGCTCATTACCCCAGGAGATGTTCAGACAGGTACATACTGTAGAGTATTAGACATTAAAACAATCATTTTAAACTGTCATAAAACTGATTTTGATTTCAGTTTTTCCATTTGTACTGTGAAAAACACCTAAAGTCCTGTGACTAAAATTCACATGTACCATTTATTTGGTTTTATCCATCTATCCATTTTCCTCCGCTTATCCGGAACCGGGTCACAGGGGCAGCAGTCTAGGAGGTGCTGATTCTCATCCCAGCCGCTTCACACTCGGCTGCAAACTGCCCCAGTGCATGCTGGAGGTCCTGGTTTGTTGCCAACAGGACAACGTCATCTGCAAAAAGCAGAGACGAGATCCTGTGGTCCCCAAACCGGACTCCCTCCGGCCCCTGGCTGCACCTAGAAATTCTGTCCATAAAAGTAATGAACAGAACCGGTGACAAAGGGCAGCCCTGCCGGAGTCCAACATGCAACAGAAACAAGTCTGACTTACTGTCGGCAATGCGAACCAAGCTCCTGCTCCGGTCGTACAGGGAGACAGCCCTTAGCAAAGAGCCCCGGACCCCGTACTCCCGGAGCACCCCCCACAGGGCGCCGTGAGGCCCTGTGTGGACTGGTTTGGCAAACTCCCATGACTTCTAGAAATGAGCAAATGAATCAAAGCCCATCTCAAAAACCAACCTGAAATTGAGCACAGGTATGAAGGTCTTTCCTGGATGTCCATTTGAAGAGGGTTGTCCTCTTTTTGTACACCAAGCTGGTGGTCATTGTCAGAGCCTCGTTGGGCTGCATGAGATCTGCACACAACTTGGCTGTTGCTCCAGCTTCAAGAACTGCAGGAATGGCCACCATGTACTGCCTACAGACACACATTTACGCAGTTTAACCCACTGGATCTACCCGGAAGAAAACCTCCAATACACGGTTTCATCAGTTACATATGACTGCAAGACCTTGAGCCAGTTCGGAACGCAGTATAAAACCTACTCCACATCCATACCGGCAAGAAGTTACGGCATCTTAAGAAAAACAGGTCGCTTTGTTATTTTGACTTCTGCCGAGTCTGTCCAGCTTCCTCCCCCGCCATCGGATCCAACTCACCACCAGGTGGTGATCAGTTGACAGCTTCGCCCCACCCCTCACCTGAGTGTCCAAGACATATGGCCGGAGGTCAGATGAAACAACCACAAAGTCGATCAATGACCTCCGACCTAGGGTGTTCTGGTGCCACGTGCACTGGTGCTTGAACATGGTGTTCGTTATGGACAAACTGTGACTAGCACAGAAGTCCAGTAACAGAACACCGCTCGGGTTCAGATCGGGGGGGCCGTTCCTCCCAATCACGCCCCTCCAAGTATCACTGCCGTTGCCCACGTGAACGTTGAAGTCCCCCAGTAGAACAACGAAGTCCCCAGTCGGAGCATTTTCCAGCAAACTTATTTGGTTTTATAAGTTGATATAACGGTTTGTCGGCGTTTTTATAATTTTGCTGTTTTGTTAACTTTTTTGTTGCTCCATTTGAACAGAGCACACTTTGCAGGATTATGGTCTCTTAATACCTTCATGTGCATGTGTTTGGCTTGTTGCAGGTGACCGCCCTGCTGGAGCTGGTGAAGTCGAGCAGTGAAAATTCACCTGAGGCTACAGCTCTATACTATGACGAACTGGCCAGCCTGATCCTGACCTCTACCCTGGACCCACAGGTGCAGGTGTGTCTTACACAGACATTTTCCACACTTATCATAATAGCTCAGTTTTTTTTAACCTCTTCATGTGTGACTGTCAAATAACCTTGTTAATTGAATTTACACTGAATTACTGACTTCCAGTCAGATTTATAAAATACAGCTACTACACAGTTAAGCATTTTGGTAATGTGACCCTCTTCCCGCCAACAGGAAATGATTGGAAAGACTGTTCTAGATGATTTTCAGGACGACTTTGTTGTTGATATGGGGCCAGAAATAACAGGGTTAGTGATGGAACAGCAGCATTAGAAAGTATTATCCCTAATTATATACTCTTATAACTTGTGTCATTATTCCTTCCCACCTGTGTGCCTCAGTTCCTTCCCCTTTCCGGCCTGTGTGATGTACAACTTGGATGAGGAGGAGAGTCAGGGAAGCATTGCCGTCAACCTGCTGCCTCTGCTGGCCAAAGACATCCAGAACAAAGCAGAGCAGCACAGTCAAACCAAGAAGGCACACAAGTCAGTCCTGACACTCCCACCACCTCTGTCCAGTCCTCATGAGTGACAACAAAATATTAAATCCATGTTTTCATTTGCAATAGTCAGATTTTCAGTTTATTGTCTAACATCTAGCCCTAAACCCAATCACTGAGATTTTAGATTTGTTTACTGCTCTATTTTGTGCAGGCGAGTGTCTCCTCTCTGTCTGTCTCCATTTTTTCGCCTCCTGAGAATGTGTGAGGAGAAGCAACATCAAGGTGACCTAGAGGAGATTGATGCCCTGCTGGGTGAGTAAGGCAACTCGAATTACAACTCTCCCACAGAAACTAGTTTGTTGTCATGTCCATGGCTGTAAAATCATTATTGTCTGTTCTGCACCACAGGCTGCCCTCTGATCCTAATAGACATGGACATAGTAGAGAAAACAGAGAGCCTGTCAAAACCTGAGAGGGAGTTCCTCTGTACGTTGCTCTTTCACACCATCAACTGGTTCAGAGAGGTAACTGCATATTATTGTCAAAGGGTTTGACTGATTCGAAGGAAAATTTTCTCCAAAGTAGTAGATATGTGACCAGAGCTGCGTTGTCCCTGTGTTTTTTGTTCCTGTAGGTCATAAATGCATTTTGTAAGCAAACAGAAATTGAGATGAAGATGAAAGTGATCACTCGTCTGCAGAACATCACCTACCTTCAGACGCTGCTGGAGAAGGCTTTGGCTGGTAAGTTTTTGACCTATCAGTGCTTTGAGGTTTCACAGTCTTAGGCAATGTGGTGTCATTTCTACTAAAGAGCTTCTTTGCCTTGTGTTTCAGCAACACCCGGCTATGTTCCGCCTCTTGCTAACTTCGATGGCAATGGCACAGATGGAGTTGTACTTGGTTCCATTGCTCCGGTGAATAAGGCAAAGAAAGGTAACCAGCCCCACAGAGAATATGTTCCTCTCTTTTGTGTTGATTAAACTAAATGCTCTAAATAAAGAATCAGTACACGTGTAACTGTCCAACTTGCATACGGTGTGTTATTCAAATGGCACAGGGAAGAAAAGGAAGGCTCTTGGAAAGAATTCCTCAGAAAGCAGCTCTCAGCTTGAGGAGGTGACTGAAGCAGATGAAACTCAGCAGGTAAACCTTAACCCCCTCACATTAATTCATTTTTAATGTAACTGAGCAAAAGAAAAGGGTGATTCTGCATGCACCATAGGAGCAGTCAGAGAAGGAGAAGGTAAAGGAGATACAGCAAGGTGTCAGCCTGGTGTCCTACAGACAGTTTTTTAGGGAGCTGGACATGGAGGTGCTTAATGTGCTGCAGTGTGGCTTACTGTCTCGCTCACTGCTGGACACCGAACTCCACACTAAGGTAAGAGAAGGAGTAAGAACTCTTGTTCTTATAAAAGTAAGTAGGCCTTTAACCAATTTTTAAATTTATAATATTGTAGTAAAGGTTAGGTCAGCACACCGGAAGTTACATATTGTACCTCCTCTGATGTTCTCACATGATTGAGGGGAGAGAAGAGGCTCTGCTTGGTCCTGCTGAGCTGGTTTTCCTGTTGGAGGATATGCTTCGCAAGCTGGACTTCAGTCTTACAGCTGCCCCTGCCAAGAAAGCCCCTTTTCTTAAGGTACTTTTAAAACTTAATGACAAACCAATTGAGCATACTAGTGATAAACACAGATCAGAACATTGAAGATAACAGTGCAGGTCTTATGGAATGTGCACAAAACATTTGGGTTTCAGTGGTATAAGATTCTCACGGGTTTAAAGTATTCCACAATTGCTGTACTGTTATTATCAGCTGCAGTGACCTTCAAACCAAAATCTATCCTATATTGTTACACTATTATGTTTTTACATTAATAGCCTATCACTCATGCATTGATGTAAAAACAAGATTTGGTATACCACTGCAACCCTACATGCAAGTGAAGTTAAACTCAAATAAGACATTAAAAATCCCTGAGTGTCAGTGGCATTTAGTTACAACAATTTATAGTACGTGCTGGTAGAACGTAGCCCTTTATGAGCCAAAACTACCTGGATTATTTTCTTGTGCAGGGAAGGATTAATAAAAGTGTGGGCTTCTCACACCTACAACAAAGGAGCTCCATAGATGTCGCTTCCTGCTGTGTCCAGCTGCTGCCTGCCCTGTGCTCACACCTGGAAAATTGCCACAACAATTTTCAGGTATGAAGTCATGCATTCAGGGGTTATGAGAGAAAGAAGCATCTCATCAAGCTCACAATAAAAATTCTCCATATGCTTTTTTGTATTTGTGCGTTTTTATAGACACTGCTCTCTGAGAATAATGGTGTTGTGGATGGACCTGCCACAGACCTGCAGGCGCACCTATTGATGTCATCAACCTACCAGCTGCTTCTGCAGGTCCTGAACACCACCTTCAGTTGGTGAGGAGGACCAGTTGACTTTCATGTCATACATTACATTTTTTACTCTTCTGTTATTTTGTTGTCACTGCCTCTTAGTGAGTTTGGACCCTGATCTGTCTGTGTGTATTTGTCAGGTCTGGATTCAGTCAGCCAGGTCATCGGAGCTTACTGAAGAAAGGTCTGGGAGTTTTGGCAGGACGACTTAAAGAAGGAGGTGCTGAGTTGACCCTGGAGCAGCTTGTAAAGTGAGTAATAAAGATGGCTACAAAGAACTAATAGATTGTATCATCCTAGTTTTATACAGCAAACAGCGAATATCAGAATTGTTCATTAATACTCAGTTAAATGTGTGTCTTTACATGGTAATTGAATAAAATATATATTTGCGCTCTTTTTTGTTTTATTTAGACACAGCTTTGAGTACCTCCTGAACTTCCGCAGCACAGTGCCAAGTCTCAGTACAGCGCTGTCTCTCTCCCAGCTTGTGTCCACTGTGTCGGAGAGAGGAGGGAATCCCACTGCTTACAGAGAGCAGACCGGTGAGTCCAGCATGTTGCGTCATTTAAATTCACTTACCTGCCATCCAGTAGACTGTATATGTCAATGGCAGATTTTATTTCTTCCTAGCTTCTCTAGCAAAACATTTCCTGAGCCAAAACTGGGTGACAGCCAGCGGAGAGAAGGAGCGAGGGAACAAATTCAATGAAGCACTTCACACTCTCCTAAGGTGTGTCTGATTGTCATAAATGGCCAAAAAAGTTGTATGCAGAATTGATGGAAAGCAATAAAGTTGCTCATATTACAGCCTGACGGATACACTGGTTATGGATTTTAGCTTATTATGCATATATAGATATATACACAGTGTGAGAGTGTAAGAAGAAGTTGCAGTTGAAATTCCAGAGGTATTTTTATGGTAATTTATAAATCATGTTGCCATTACAGAGGTTTACAGCTATAGAGTGATGACAAATTAGTTTTCTCATCTCTAAAGTGTTCAGAAAAAAAGATCAGCTGATATATTTTTAGCAATTTTATTTTTGACAAATATAAACTATAAATTCCTGGTATTGTTTGGGTGTTTGCATGAGTCCTTCATAGTAATATTAAAATGATTCTTTAAATTAATGATTCATATTTATTAGTAGAAACAGGTGCTCAGCAGCACCATCTCTATAAAAACTTCAACAAGCTATTTACAGTTTCATATGTGTTTTGTGTATGTAATGTTATTTTCACTGCTTATGGAAAATATGCCTGGCTTGTTACTAAATGTTTATATACCCAGCAGTGCAGCACAAGCAAACAGCCATCAGCTCCAGGATGGTGCGCTGTCCATCCACGTGCAACACACACAGCTCATTGATTTTGTAGTAACTATAAATGAATGAAGCAGTCATTGTGTTCAGCAGTCCTCGCAGGTGCACAACACAGTGACTAAACTACAAAGGAAAATTGTATTTTTAACTATGGCATTTTTGCCTTTTCCCATCTCACTGCAGCATTTACCTGGAGCATGTTGATGATATTCTGAAGGCAGTGGAGGAAATAGCTGGAGAAGGAATCCCTGAGCTGCTCAACGCATCAAAGGATGAAAGTTCAGCGTCATGGCCCACGCTCAACAGGTAGCTTCTTGTCTTCATCAGTCCTTTTCACCCAGCTAATTGTAATTACAATAATCCGACCATAACCACAGCAGAGAGGATCTGCAGTCATATTGGGATTATTCTGTTGGACATATACAGTGTATATATATATATAAAAATGTTTTCTCAACAGTATATTCTCTTTGTGACTTACATGTAGAGTGATTATATTTGTTTTGGAAGGAAACTTTTGCCTATATTTCATTATAGTCCAGAGCCAGAGAGATTTCCATGCATATACCCTGTGAAGAAGCTCAGTGTGGTCAGATCCACAGAACACTTCTGTACTCTACTAAAAAGTGGACATGACTGCAATCACACCAGTAGCCATTTTTAAATGCCAGTTTGTTTATAATTTTAGCTGACTGAGTTGTGTGAATGTATAACAAATAGTCCGGTTTTTCACTAACTCATTTTTTTTTTTTCCAAATGATCTGCATGAGTTACTCCATGTATCCCATGTCTGTGCAGGCTCAGAGTGAGAAGCTGCTGACGTGGAACCTGGCTGTCAGAGACTTTCACATCCTGGTCAACCTAGTCAAGGTACATCATCTGTTAGTGTTCACATAAATGTATATTGACATGACACTGACTTCAGTAGCCTGTTTCCTGCATTCAGTCAGGTGATCCATGATATGTCATTACTTTTGGGTAATTTATACTCATTCAGTCTCATCACTTTCATTTGCTCATTTATTCAATCTATTTTACAGGTGTTTGATTCTAGGCCAGTGCTTAATGTGTGCCTTAAGGTTAGTTGGGTCTGCATGTGGAAAATGATTTCACATTCAGTTGTAGCTGCTGCAATTTTGTATTAACCAGCTATAATGTTGTTGTTGGTAGTATGGCCGTCTGTTCTTGGAGTCTTTCCTGAAGCTGGGGATGCCACTGCTGGACTACAGTTTTAAAAGGCACAAGGTACACATCAAATGTTCTCAACTACAGCCATTAAATGTCATTGCGTGAGTATGGGATGTGACTACTTCTAGAACTGAGTCACAACTACAGTACACTTTATGGGATATGACCTGTTCCTAATTTAATATAAGCAAAAGCCAATTAACTAACTACTCATAACATCTGCAGTTCATTTCCTAGTTCATGCATCACTTTTATAAAGTATATACAGTACACCAAGTGTGTTTTCTGCAGCTGCTTCCCTACATCACTCAAAGATGGGCTGGCACTAAAGCATGGCTATGCACAGAAATAGATTCTGTGTTGTTGTGTAAAAGTGTACAAAACAAAGTGCTGCCAGTGCAATGACTGATGTGGTGTCTTTAAGGAGGATGTCCAGAGCCTACTGAAGACCTTCCAGCTCAGCACCAGGCAGCTCCATCACCTGTGTGGACATTCTAAGGTAGCTCCATACTGTACCACAGTATCTAGCTCCTTCCTTTCTAATGTTTTTAGTTATCTCTCTGCATGCACTGCTGACCATTCTAGCATTCACAGCATCTAAAACATTCCTGTTACCTTGGAGAGAGTGTATCTGGACAGTACATACAGTACGTTAATCCTCAGGGCACTGAACCTTGTCATACTGTGCTGGTTCTCAGATTCACCAGGATACAAGCCTGACCAACCACGTCCCGGCCATAAAGAAGAGCCTTGAGCTGTTTGTGTACAGAGTGAAGGCCATGCTGACGCTCAACAACTGTCAGGAGGCATTTTGGATGGGTAACCTGAAGAATCGCAACCTGAAGGTATGATATTATTGGACTTTTATTAATGTGCCTCTTTGCATTTTGAGTAAAGGATGGAGAGGGATGATATACTGTATCCTGCAGGGTGAAGAGATTCTGTCTCAGAAGGCGCAAGAAAGTGATGATGATGATGATGATGATGAGGAAGAGGAGGAGCGACAGTCACCACAACAGTCAGAGGATGAGGTACTTGCCATTTCCACAATTTTCTAAGAGGTATTATATTGAAATCTTATGCTGTAACCAGTGTAGGTCATCTCTCACCAAATGTGTCTCAAACATGTGACATTTTGCTTTTATCACATTTATCATTAATATTGGTTTAGCTATTGATACATAAAATAAATGTTTGATTCTGTAACTCTAATGTGGCCTAGAGTCAGCACTGACTTAACCAAGAGTTAGCTGACAAAACTACACAAGGGTCAAAAACTAAAAGGTGCACTGTACTGTAAGGGATAGGAGTTTTGATAAGTCATTTCAGCTAAACATTAGCGTGGTCTGTGTCAACTTTCAAAGCAACAAGCAGGAGATTGAGGTGCATGTAACAAAATCAAGGCATGCACCTTGTAGACACAGGAGCAAACTGAATAAACATTTTGAATAAGCACAACAAAAGCAAGGTAAGCAGGTTCATAACTTCATGTTTGTATGTTCTTTCCTCCAGGCCCAGGAGAGTGACTCTGACCAAAGTAAGCAGATGAACAGAGAGGAAGATATAGATAAAGACGGCATTATAGATGACTCTGAGTAACTACCAGAATGAGAAACTGTTGGCTTTGATTTAGAAGTTTTGAATGTTTCGGATTTTGTTGTTTTTACCACTACTCAGTCAACAATGTGGAGATATATAATCAGGTGTTTCCACAGTCAGTATCGTTCTGAAAAAGAGTATGTTTTATTGTATTTTTTATTTAACTAGGTTAAATCTCTTTGAGGTTAGTAGCAAAGGGAGATCTGGCCTAGATGCCTGATAAAGCATTTTTCAGGTTTCAGATGGGACAATACAACTGTCATGGGAATTATAATAGGAGATTTCATTAAATGATATTTACTTGGACAATAAAAACAGAAAATAATAAAGAATTTTGGTATTTTTTTGGCAACAAAAAGAGAAAATTTAAAAACTAATTTACAAATGAGATATTAATCCTATGATAAAGTACCACTGGATTTTGTCAAGGAAACCCATGGTGATGATAATATAATGTCCATAATATAGTGGGGGAAGGAGTAGTCAGATTGTTTAGTATAGGCTGATTTTATTTAGAATAAACATACAACTTTGCCTCCCAAATCTATTTTCATAATGTGTTGAAGCTCTCTACACACCAGTAGTCCCACTGCTGAGATCTTTGCAGGACTTTTTTATCCAACCAAACAGGCCTATTCAGGTTTACTATCATGACAAAAACCATCACGTCAAACACCACTGGTCAAGATGGAAACACCTAATGTTGCAACTGCAAATCCATTTTTCATGAAAAAGAATGACTGAAACAAATAACTGACTAGAGTCTGACAGAGCAGTGAACAGCAGCCTGTTTGTGATCAGACAATGTGGACACTGTCTCTTCCCAGCAGCCGACCGCTTTAGATTATCTGGGGATCTAAAGGAATATCCATTCTTTTTCTTTCTTCAATAAATGTACATTTGAAGTCTTTCCCCACTACCCTGATTCGTAAGCATCACAGCTCTCTATATAAATGTTTAACATTAGAAAATATCCTAAGGCTGTGTTCACATCATATCACACCTCACCTTTTTTTTTTCACAAAAAGAATTGATATCAATGGCTTTTTTTTTTTTTAAATTGTTAAAAGTTTTTTCATAAACCTTTGGAGGGATAATATAGTTGGATAGAATAAAACCCATAATCCGATTAATTTTGACTTTGTTACAAAAACTACATGTACATTTAAGTATCTGAGGTGGGTTTCATAATGCAATTTACTGTCAACCCTTTTCTGTGAAACTGAAAAAACTCTGAATTTAATGGTCACTTTAAAGCTCAAAGAGTGGCGTTAAGACTGATGAATCCTGGGGATACCATCAGAAGCTCTGCACACTGGTAGCCCCATGGTTTTTTTAAAAACATAGGTAAAATGAACATACTGCATCAGTCTATGATGCTATATGGAAATACAAGCATACATTGTGGCTGAAAATCAATCTTAGACAAAAGCAGCAAGAACCTGATGTTGAAGATTATATTGAGTAACAAGGTCTTTCTACTTAAAGCCAGGAGTTTTCTAACAGACATGCACTACCAGATTTTTTGAAGGAGCTTGGGAACTTCGTATACAGGTCAAGGTTACATTTAAGTTAGTGCAGCTTGAGTTATACAGTATATTGAATATTATGTTTGTTTATATAAAAGCAAAATTAACCAGCTGGATTTTTGAAGGGACTTTGGTCACTTATCAGAAAAAGACACGAGCTTATAAAGTGAAACAG